TAGTATGGGTTTAAGGTTTCTTTATGTCATTTTATGAGACATTCCTACCATACATGTTAAATGTTGTATGGTAACTTTTATTTTATACTGTCAATATCTTTGTAGAATGAAAGTGTTATTTCATCGTGTTACATGTATATCATACATTAATACATCTGGACTAACATGTAGAAATGTACAATATATTATTTCACTCTAATACAAATTAACCAAAGTAAAATTTATGCCATAATGATTGCAGAATAGCGTTTAATAAATGATTATTGATGTTAGTGCATATAATTGCATTGTGTGTTAATGCGTGATCACGATCAGAAATCATTAATAATATGAACTTGTACATCAGGTATATCATTTGGCGTACAATTGAATTATCCAGAACTGTGCACCATTACCTGTTTACATTGAATAATAGACATGTTCAAATTGGGTGTGATCCATGAAAGACTAATTAACTAACTAGTGTTAATTCAGGTGTTAGCGAGAATACAGTTATAAAGTCCACTTAACATCTGTCCGACAGAAAGTGATGTATTTTCCTAGCAATAAAATAACTTTACCAGCTGTAGAGATATTTATATTACAAACTATAGGCTATCCATATATCTTTCAATTAAGTGCTAACTTCATAATATTGTTAATATCTGATCACGGTGTATATTTATATATTAACTTAGATCTAGGATTTCAAAGTGATTATCAGTTATTCATTTTGACATGAAACAGATCTTTATGCCTGTAGATCGTTAACAGCTTAATGCTTAAAGTGACAACCTAGCAAAATTTTACATTGTTTAGTAGATTAAAGGCTCTATACATGTATATCACAGACTAAAGGACAGATACACTGTATAGACTTACAAACATATGCAGGTACAAACAAATTTAAAATCGATCAAATATCTTAACCTCCCAGCAATAAAATTTCAGTGTAATAGCCCATCCAAAATTTCAAAATTATCATTATGTAGTCAAAACATGTATTGTTTCTTTAAGTGTTTTTAGTCAAGAGTTTGCAGCAAAAACTGTACATGGTGCAAACATTCTGCCAACGTAAGTGTGGTTGGCCTCCGTGGACCTATTTATGAAATGAAAATTGGGTCATTTTTGACAAACAGAAAGTGTTTAACGGATGGGACAAAAAATAATCGCAGATTGCCCATATTGCGTTTATTTCTCAACGCATCTCCATCTTCCTATAGGGGCTTTGACGGACAGTTTTTCAAAATTTGAAAGTTCGGCGGATTAGTTCTATCATCAAAGATTTGCGAAAGTTTTCGCGTACATGTATCTCCGTTAGTATTTGAGGTATCAAGTTGAAACTTTGCAGGAATACAGAACGCATTGATGCCTTCAAAATGGCATGTTAATAACTTTTTTGGCTGCTTCTGGAAATTACCGTGGCCTTCCGTTATTTCCCGAACATGAATAGTTTTCTCCATATTAAAAATGGACTAAAAATGACATATGGTGGTGTTAGCCCCAGATATTATCTTTCATTTTTAGAGATCTTGTTCCATAATATTTTTAACCGTTTGGGGCTCCATATTTGATTTTACAAAAAACCTTCAAATCAATATTCAGTCTCCATTTTGATTCCGATTTTCGAAAACTTCCTTTTGTTTTGAACCTAAACCAAATGGCAATGAAATTGGGTTTAACGTCCTACTGTTCTGCTCCAAACTGGGCTAATGAAGACAGGCATATGCCATACAGTGTGCTATGCGAGAAATTTTGCCCGGACAGCGGCACTACGGCCTACTCTTATTTTGAATTCCATCTGTCAAGGGATCTTTTTCGTGCACGTCTATGTGTAAACGGGACCTCAGTTTTTTGTCCCAGCCGAACGACTAGACAGCTGTACTTGTCAGTCCCTCCGTTCTGCATCACTGATGAGGGGGAACCACGCTGGAAAATAACAATTCATAGAGAGCCAATTCTTGAATTTTGATTTTGTTTACTTACGGTTTAAAGAGTTCAAAATGACAGGTTTTTCCACTTTTATAGGTATTGGATCTTACTATACTCAGTAGTGCATGGTGTAACTTGATTGTTGTGACAAGCCATGACCTGACATACCGAAACATGTCAGTACTCCTTCAGAGTTCTAGTTATTGTTCTATTCAATCTTTGTGATATTCACCAATTTTCATTGATAATTTCCAAAATTATGATCCTTGAATATATGCATCTCCCAATTATTATCAGATCTTTTAAAGCTTGTATATGTTGTCTAAATTCACAAGAGGAAAAGACACAATACATTTATTTTACAAAACCGTAAAGTCTTTGTTCATTTTCAATTAAAGCTCTGAGTACAATCAGAAAGAAAATAACTGTAGGTACATACACACATGTTGATGGGGTGGGATGTAAATGCATTAAACTTTGTTTAAAGTTTCAAGTACAGTTTTAAGTCTTAATAAAACAGAAATAAATCTGCAGTAAATTTCATATAAATAAACAAAAGTTTTTGAGAAATATTGTTTAAAAATCGTGATATAAGGGAAGACTGACAGCTGTTCACCAGTATATGTGGATGTATATTAGTTGTATTATAGCGAGGATTCCTACAGAGAAATTGGCAGGAGCAGTAACAGTCTGTTAGGCCAACTATAATAAATACCTACATCTAAATTATATCATATACATGTACGAGCATTAAAAAATGATGTACTTTTAGATTGTTTATTCCAATCTTGTTAATAAGTCTCTTTTTTTCCATTAAATTAAAAAAACTTAATTATTATTCCACTTGCCATTTGAATAGCATTTCGGATGTTTGTTTGTTAAGCGTAACTTTCATCACTAACTCGTGACTGACATTTAATCAACTTAATTTATGGACTTGTTGCAAGACAGAACAAAAATCAATATATTGAATCTTTTTCAACATTGAGGTCATCAATTCTCTTTCTAAATCCAACCTATTTTCTGCCTGTAATACCCATGTCATATACATGTGAAAACAATACCCTTTTATAGAAGTGTTGACATGAAATTTATATTTAATAAAGAAATATGAAAATAGTATTTATAGATGATGATGCTTATCATATGTTTGAAAACGAATGATTTTGATGAGATTTTGTATAAGTTTTCAAAGATTAATATTACCAAAGATAAAGGAGTATATGAGTGTTTTTAGTAAGGCCTAATGTAAACACAGTCTGCTAGAGGGAGATCATTATGGAAATTTGTTCCAGATTTAACGATGGTCTGAATAAACTTTCTCCTGGGGTGAAATCAACCTGCTTATAGATCTGAAATTTAACACATGGACAGTAGATAAACAAATTAAAATATCTCTTGTTGACTTTAAATAAACAATGGTAGATATATATGACTCCCAGTACCAGTATTAAGCGCTTCCTCTTATCTCTAGATAATTATTTACATTCTTTACCCTGAATAATACTATTTAACTCATGTAGATAATATTGAGAATGTTATACATATATATTATGATGCTATTCATTTAATCAAAATTAAATGATTCAATTCCTTGGTTTTTTGATGGTCATTGAGTTTGATGACTTACAGAATAGAGTCTGAAATGATTCAGCTAGGTTTTGTGGAGTATTTAACGTTTTGTAAAGGTTTTTGAGAATCTTCGTAGAGATTTCTTTCTTGACATACATGTACATGTACCTTACACATGTACATGTTAAACATACTGTACATTAATAAGTCAAGAACTATTACTCATCCACCGATATTTTCTCAACCTTTCTATAACTGCTTTGTCAAAAGTGACAATAAATTGTAATTGAAATCAATTAAAAAAAAAAGTTCATTTCATTTAGCATGTTGATTTGTTTTTGTGGGATGACACTCTGTATTTGATGCAAATTTTATGTCTGTACTTAAACTCTGTGTTGAGATAGAATCGATTTTGTGTTGACACAGTAGCCAATTAAAGTTCAAGCTAAAATTATTAAACAATCTGGCCAATATTCAAACTAAAAGTTCAAAACAAAACATAAAGATACATTATGTAAGATTTAGATAAAGAACAAGCCATTCTTGCTATAATAGTTTTAAAGTAGATGATGTAAAATGAATAATTATTTGAAAATTTCATTCAAATTACTCTATTGCAAGCGAAGATATTAGCCTTTGAAGGTTTGACAGACGTGTGCAATAATTTCAACCACTTGATTAAATCAAAGTATCGCTGAACCATTCTAATCTATTTAATATCGGAGAAATCTGATGCCATCGAGAGTTGATTAAGGCCTGGATCAGTTAATTAATGTCTAATTAATAGTTTAGATAACATTTCAGGCCTAAAGAAAGACCTGCAATAGGCAGATTTAGCTCTTGCATAATGCATGTTTAATCATTCAAAATAACACATCAGATCAACCCAATTTAACTCTTTATTTTGGCCTAAATCAAAGACGCCTTGTATTATTATATGTTATGGTAACCATCAGTAAGTTTTTGCGAATAAGGGCCCATATTTATATGCAATCAGAACGTTCCAACTATAGTGTCACGTACATATATTACATACAGCATTGGCGATACCTATTTAATTGGTCAGTTTCAATAAATTTCTATGACGTGTTACGAAACATGGATACTAATGTATTAGAGGTACATGTAACTGTCAAACATATGTGACAGAGCGGACACAGCGAATCATGTAGGTAGTCTTTACCATTGTTACTATTACCAGTAGTACTAATTGTTACCACCACATAATCCTAATCAAGCACGTGCACGCTGTACCATAAAGTCTGTCATTGAGTCAACTGGCGTGGTTTCGAATCCCCGGTTGTACGTGGCAAGGAGTAGGGTCGCCTGTCCAACCTCGTGGGTTTTCTCCAGGTCCTCCGGTTTCCTCCCACTGCTAAAGACCCCTACTGGCAATTGAATTATTGAAATAAAAATTAAACCATGTGTTAGTCCCGAAATTACCTAGTTTTTGTCCAGTGGACGTTAAACCCCATTTCTCTCTCTCATAATCCTAATCAATATTTTTATATTTTCAGGTTTTCCACTTCTGTCTCAAGATTTTAATACAAGTTTGGTGTTATTTAAATGTAGATGTTTACCGATACATAAATGTGATGAATTAGATTACTGTGAAACTAACATAGAAGTAAGTTTTGACTTATACAGGAATATAATTCCTGCACATGAATTTACCACCAATTGTAAAGTGGTATCATGTGTTTCAAATTGAACCTTGTGCACAAAACACACAACAAACTCTTCTTCAGCCAGTTGACAGTATACTGTATCCTCTATATATAATGAATCAAGAGTTACATGTAACTAATGTACTTGGAACTCCAAACTAGGAAAAGAAATAAAATGGGGTTTAACATCCTACTGTTCTGCTCCGAACTGGGCTAATGAAGACGGGCATATGCCATACAGTGTGCCATACAATTTTGCCCGGACAGCGGCACTACGGTCGAATTCCAACTGTCGAGGGATCTTTTACGTGCACATCCTATCCAAACAACTAGACAGCTGTCCTTGTCAGGCCCTCCGTCCTGCATCACTGACAAGGGGGAACCATGCCGGAAAATCAGGATGAACTTTATCGGACCAATGCAGGGATCGAACACCTGACCTCCAGACTAGCGAGCCAGCGTCTTACCCACTTAGCCACCATGACCCCCTCCAAACTAGGAATCAGGCAAAATGAATGATATCCAATAATTTATTACCATGTACAAATACAGTGTATGTTAGTGTATGATGCCAATGTTCTAGGGATAAAGTTATCAAACGAATGATACAGACTGTCATGAAACATAGCAACCCATTGATTTTCAACGATTTCCGGTAGATTTGACAGGGTTATGACTTTTGATCACTGAGAAAAAATCTTGTGGCAGCTCAAATTATTTTCTGTTTGCCAAGTTATTTATTGTTCTATATAATCGTTTCAGTGTTATTCTGCAAAGACAAAGGCTGATGGAAGGATACAAGAGAGTAAAGGCTGTTTTGGCCGTGATGACAGCAGTAAGATGTCATGTCACAGTAAAAATCATGTTGGTGCTGTACGATGCTGTCAAGGAAACTGGTGTAATGAAGACATGACAGCCACTCTAGCACCTACACCCAGAAAAAGAGATGGTATGTTTGAAATTAATCATCATTGATTATAAAAAATTGACGGTAAATTGTTCAAATACACTGGTAACTTTCTATATGTAAGTTTCAATATGCCCCTCCATTCAAATTGAATTATAGTGGAGTTCTTTAGTGTCGCCTTGTTCCTATTTCATGTATCATCGCTAATTTTTAAACCAAGTTGTTTGTTACTGTTGCTTTCAGTCATTGTAAAAGTTGTATTTTACTTGCAGAGACGTATTCTTCGCCTGATGTTCTTGTTACCCATCTGCCATTGATATTAGCTGTTATTATTCCTATAATAATAGTAGCCATACTAATTCCAATCATCGTTGTTGCTTGTCGATGCCTCCACAAACGACGAATGGATGAACTCTTTCAGCGTGAGAGAAGTCTCCTGGAAGAAGAAGATGGCATACGAGCAACCCAAGTAGGGGAGAGTACTCTTCAAGAAATATTAGAACAATCGTGTACATCAGGAAGTGGTTCTGGTCTACCATTTTTGGTCCAGCAGACTGTAGCTAGACAAGTCCGACTTCATGATTGCATAGGTAAGCTAATTTCTGTAATTTCTGTGTGCTTTTTAATGAGCATGAACTTACTTGGGTAACACTTAAACAACACCAGCTCGGTAATGGGTACACACTTTACAGCATCAGTAATAGGTACACACTTGATCAACAGCATCAGTAATAGGTACACACTTAATCAACATCATCATTAATAGGTAGGTATATACTTACATGTAATCAACAGCATCTGTAATAGGTACAAACTTAATCTACAGCATCAGTAATAGGTATACTTAAAGTTGCAATTTCATATTTTTAAGTTATATTTTTAAAATTTATTAAAATAAAGCCTTAAAATAGATGGTATCTATAAACAGTCCTACCTTGTTAAAGAATAATCCTATTAATCCTATAATTCACTATTGCCAGTTGAGAAATTGGCAAAAATATCATTTTCATCTTCAAATTCCAACGTTTGAAGATAACTACTCCATGGTGGAGAATAGAAAACAAGGGAGGTAATTGTGTTATTATTTCCGGTGTAAATGAGTTTTAAGTGTGAGAATGACGCCTATGATTGTATAATAGTGGGTTGACAACCTATTGAGCAAAAGACATAGAAATGATTATGTTTTGACTTTCTTAGAAAATATGAAATTGTAACTTTAATGGCATTGCCATGTCTAAGATTCGCACTAACTTTCCAAATTATTTCTATGTGATACTTTAGTACCTGTTTCCTTTACCCCTAAAAACATAAATCATCAATAGAAAGAAACGTTCACTTCGTCTGATACGAGCGTAGGTCAGGATAGTCAGTCACAGGAAGGGTATCCCTGACCTTCGTTGATCTAAAAATAGTATTCAGATTTTTTTCGAATGTCGCGGAATGTCGTTTAGGTCATTTTCGGTATACAGCAACTAGACTAGAGGGAATTCCTTCGATCTCGAATAACCAATCTTTTTGACAGCTGCTGATAAAGAAAAAATGGCTGAATTTGTTTTCTTTGTTTTTGTGGGACGAAGATCTCATATTATTTTGATTCCTTTCAATATTCACACATATTGGATCGTAACTACCTAAAATATGGCCCCTGATTGTACGAAAAATATGCTTTTAGCTTGTGGTCACTCTAGAAGACACAATTATTATCCAATTTAAAAAAACATTCACTGTTACACCATATTGTTTGTTGAGTTCGAATTTCGTGCAAATCGGGCCAAAACTGTGGGACAAAATGGTCGCCCCTTTTTCGCAAATAGTGTAAAAAATATGGTATATCAAGGTTGTGGACCCTCAAGAAGTCACAATTTTTATCCAATTTTGATGAAACTTAGAATATATCTTTATATCAGTCCCTCTCGATATTCGTGCATTTCAGGCCATAACTTCCTAGATTATGGCCCGTGATTTTACGAAAAAATCGCTTTTATTTTTATCTTGTTTTCTATCTTTTTCTTGAAAAATGTGGGCATATCTTGCCTGGCAATCGCTGATAAGTTGTACACATTGACTCTTCTATGATCATACAACAACAAGTCATTGACATCCATGATCTCCAGTTCGACGCTGCACACAGACATTGATGGTTAAGAAATTTCTTAGAATGATAACTTGTCCCAGGAGTTTAAAAGTATTGATTCTAAATAATCAGCAGCACAAGGATGCTTTTTCCGCTTAGTATTAAGCTTAGAAATAACCAATAACCATGCTATTTTTTTGCGGGAACTGAAAACTAGCTATCAATTTTTATGAGGAGTGTGAGGTCAGCATCTTTGCTGTGTAATATTTACAGGATAATAAACCTTTTGGCATGTGTCAAATGATTGCCAAATGAATCAGGCTGAACGCAAAATGGGTAGTATAATGAAAATAGTACCCAAATAATAACTACTGTAGATATTAGGCATCAACCATTATATATAATTTCAGTGCAGTGTATAATATTTTTCTTTGATTTTTGTAGGTAAAGGGAGATATGGAGAAGTATGGAAGGGTTGTTACCATGATGAAAATGTAGCCGTTAAAATATTCTCATCACGTGACGAGGCCAGTTGGTCCAGAGAAACGCAAATCTACAATACTTGTTTACTGCGACATGAAAACATCCTTGGCTATTATGCTTCAGACATGACCTCACGTAATTCTTGCACACAACTTTGGTTGATAACTCATTATCATCATAATGGATCTCTTTACGATTACCTTATTAACCATATTCTTAATCATGAACAAATGGTAACACTAGCCCTTACTGCCGCAGCTGGCCTCGTCCACCTTCATACCGAGATAGTTGGTAACCATGGAAAACCTGCCATAGCCCATAGAGACATTAAATCAAAAAATATTTTGGTCAAAGCGAACGGAGAAGCCTGCATTGGTGATTTAGGACTTGCCGTAACCCACACACAAGAAGACAATAAATTGGATTTTGGACATAATAATAAAGTAGGAACCAAACGTTACATGGCACCAGAACTATTGGAGGAAACTTTAAATCCACATTTCTTTGATTCCTTTAAATGTGTGGATGTTTATGCGTTTGGTTTAGTTTTATGGGAGATTAGCAGACGTTGTGTAACAGGAGGTGAGTACACAATCTGATTATGTAGGTAGTGTTTTATATCTGGTTTTCTGAAGTTGAGAAATATCCAACATCAATCTGATTAAAACACAGATCTTATCTCGTTTAGTTTTTTTATAGTTCAAATTTTTGTTTTACTTGTCTTCACTACACCAGGATCTGGAAAAGTTGTTAAATAACCTGCATTTTCGGTGATGAGAGAGATTAGCCAATCAAATGGTCTGTTGAGTCAAGTGGGTAGATATTCAAAAACAAAACAAGGCAAAAGTCGTATTTCCGAACAGCTACTTGGAAAATAATCCTGATTAGTTAACCAAATGTATGACGTCGGGACAAAAGTTGCTCGTATGACACCAGGCAACCCCCCTCCCCCCCCTATAACCGGTCAGATCTTCATGTAGTGGAGGCCTTCGAAAGTATAAAAAAATGAAAGGAAATATAGATCTGTATTTTAATCAGCTTGATCCAACATGTACTCGTACACTACTACATGTATGTGTATAACATCTTAAAGACAGTTGTCTTTATAACATTTGCCTAATGATAAAATTCATTTGTACGTCAAACATGAAAGGAGTAATTACATGTACTGGAACATGATTCTGTAGTATGGGTAAGATTTGATAAGAAATATGATCTCACTTTATAAGCCATATTCAGAAGTCTGAGGTTTCTCTATGCAACAACTATAACTTTATTGTACATGTATAGTGTAGTGACAGATAATAAAATTGTTCTGAATGGATACCGGTATCTGCTTTTGTGAAATGGTGGGAAAAGTAAGAATTAAATTAAATTGTGAAGCTTATATAAGATATGTGAATTTTTCAGGTTTTGCCGAAGAATATCACATACCCTACTGGGATATGGTGCCCAGTGATCCTAGTTATGAAGATATGAAAAAAGTGATTGTCACAGATCATCAAAGACCGAGTATACCCAATAGATGGGCTTCAGATGAGGTAATTGAAATATATTTAAATGGAATTTAATCCATCATCTGCTTCGCTATTATTTACAATTTTTATATTCACCCATATTTAAAGATGCATTATGTAAGAATTAGATAAAGAGATGGCCATTTTTTGCTATACTAGTTTAGAAATAGATAATGAGAAATGGCTATATTGTAAATTTCAATCAAATTACTTTATTCTAATTAAAGTTATAAATGTTTGATGTTTTGACCGTGTGAACCCTCAAACGATGAAAATAATAATCTGATCTGTATGAAATTGTCTTGTAGTGAAAAAGTGCCCCAAATTATATACAAATGAATAAATATGCGACAACCCTTGTTGACCGCTCAGACGCTTTAACTGCTGTGGGTGTATGTTTCGTTTCCTAGCAACCTATGAGTGTCAATCTCTTAAAGATACATTAATACATTATCCTGCTATAATAGCTCTAAAATTGATATTGAAAAATGAAAATAATGAAAATTTCATTCAAGTTACTGTACTTCATTCTGAGCCAAGTTGACACTGTTTGTAGTTTTGACAAGATGTGTGCAATGTGGTAACCAGGGCACTGGTATATTCAAGACTTAGCCTCACTTTTCCATATTTAAATTAAATTTTTAAATGGCAAACCGTTCTAATCTAGTTAAAATCTCAAGTATCCGATGTCATCGAGAGTTGATTATGGTCTTGTTTTGTTAATAAATGTCTAATTAATAGTTTATATAACATTTCAGGCCTAAAGAAAGACCCGCAATAGGCAGATTTATCTCTTGCATAATGTATGTTTAATGGTCTTTCTCTATATTTACAGATTTTAATGCATATGGCTAAATTAATGAAAGAATGCTGGGCACAGAATCCAAAAGCTCGTCTTCCAATGTTGCGTGTGAAGAAAACACTTGGATCTCTTTTAGCAAAAGCAGAAAAATTGAATGATGAAAAGATAAAAATTGCACCAACAGACATTCTTAAAACTGAAAAATCAGAGCCTTTAAAGATAGACAATTTTTCAAATGATGTGAGCACGAACAATAACAACACGGTGAACAATAACAATATAAACATACACACACCATCCAATACACCACAGGAAAACAATAACAGTAACAATATAACAATTATAATGAACAATAACAATACCGAGAGTAACAGTATATGTTAATAGTGACAAGTGGTTGTGATATAAATGTTGTGTGTATATATAGTGTGGGGTATTGTTTTAAACGTGAATTATAACGAATCCGCTACAATATGGTGAGGATTAATAGTGTGTTACATTGTATATGTGAATGTTCCAGGAGTAACAATGTTAAAAAAGTTGTCTATTTAAGTTATAAAAATGTCAACTCCACGTACACAATGATTATGCATTTCATAAAGTGATGCCCGGAAATTTAAAACAGAAGTGCTGAAGAGTAACAAATATACATTTTTGCAATGTATTTAAGTCATACAGACTTTGTCATAAATTATCCAAAGAGTAATGAAGATTTTTACATTGTACTTCATCATACTAGACAAGAACTGACATCACAATTCCAAGATGACTGCAATGATGTCATGCTTCCTGTGGCTGCAATGAGATCATGCTCGGTTCCTGGTCCTCACTTCAGTACGCTCATACTTGTTAAATTCTGTTACTTTTATCGTTACGTATCAATGGACAAGTTAACGATGTTCAGACCATGACATTTAAAACCTATGATATGTGGAATGTGGTTGTAACATACAGGACAGTTTTAGGTTGTGCAGAGAAGTGTATTGAGATATAAATATAGAAGCAGCAGTTACTTCATATAAAGAAAAGTTTTGCTTTCATGTAGATTTTTTGTATAGTGCTGATCTGCCTTTTTGCTACATGTTAAGTGTTTTATTTTGTGGTAGTCATGTTCAGTTTAAAATGTGAATCAAGTAGATTTGGATTTTAAGAATTATAATATTTTAAAATTAATAATTGGCTCATTCATAATTCTACTTGAAGGGCCAATCTCAATTATATTTTGGAGAATACAACTGCTTAATTTTGTGTTAAAAGCCCTTAAAATCCTCTACCTTACGGCCAAGCAACTAATTCAATATAGGTGATACATTTTCAAACAACTTAAACCCCTCCATCTTCATCTAGAAATTGAGAGAGGTGTTCCAATCTGTATTATACTGTGTCTGGATAAAACTAAACTTTTATTATATAAAAATAACGTGTAGGTGAAATTTACCTTTCGTTATCAAGTACAGCACATGAGTCAAGCACTGTATAGACCTCTAAAGGAATGGAAATAGATTATCAGGTCACCCAACGAAAAAATTGACCAATATCTTATAAGCGGTTTTGACATTCACGTCCAGACGACTCAATATTTTAAGCTGAAATTTTGAGACAGGGTAAATACACCATTCCTCTATATTTTGGCGCTTAATTAAATTTGATACGTACACAGACTTTATTTCTGTGACTCTGTTAAAATATTTTCTCTATAAAATTAGATTTAATGCGTGAACTTGATACTGTATGTAGACTGAAAAATGTAGACAACTTCATGTGGATAGAAATTGAATTAAAAATGTTATGCCTCTACGATTTTGTCTGCTCTCAGGCCAATTTTTTGAATTAAAATCTACTTGTCATATCTCTAATTATCGTTGAGTGGATTTTAAACCGCAATGCTCTCTATACTGATTATTGATGTACATGTAAATACAATGTATATGAAATGAATTCCATATTGATTTATCACATACAGCTGAAAACTAAGAATTTAAATAAAAATATAAAGTAAGTCTTATCAAGAATGTAATTTTCTTGTAAATATCATTAAATAAATGTATAAATAAGATGTATATATTGTAAAGATCATTAATTATATGAGGCATCACTTCAGTAAAGTGATGATTTTATTTAGAATTTGTAGAAAGGGTTGTTTTAATTTTACACTGTATAATTGAATGAATGTGAGAATCTGAGATGTTGTTACTATGCCCATATTCTACTGTGTATACCATGGTTGTTTCACATTATTGGCAAATTAAAGCATTTTTGTTTCTTTTTTTTTTAAAAAAAATGACTTTTATACAGTGGTAGTTGAAGTTGTAATTGGCATCTATTGTTTACCATTACAGCCGCCACAAATAAATTCCTTTGTTTACCAAATGTAAAGTTGTGTGATTTTAGTAGAATTTCTGTCGATTACATCCAGGATTATTTCTCAATTACGAACATGTAAGGAAATAGTGATTGATGTAAATAGAAGGATCTGCTGATCACCAACCCAACATGTAGAGTGTGGGTACACTGTATGTCAGCTAAATCCAAACATGTAGAGTGTGGGTACACTGTATGTCAGCTCCATCCAAACATGTAGAGTGTGGGTACACTGTATGTCAGCTCCATCCAAACATGTAGAGTGTGGGTACACTGTATGTCAGCTCCATCCAAACATGTAGAGTGTGGGTACACTGTATGTCTGCTATATACAAGTATGTGTGAAGTATGTGAGTGTTATCTGTCTCATAGAATGAAAGAAAAATTAGTAGTTATTTATTTTAATTCATCGTTCAATTTTATGCCAAAACATAAAATTACACTTGTGTACAAGTAGGACTTAATCTATTTTCTAGTATTTTTGGTTCAAGCTGTATATACATGTAATGTTTCTTTGGCTTGAACTTAACATTAAATTTAATCAAATATGTTCACCCTCATCCCATACATCATTCCTTCATTAACCGTGTCAGATAAATTTGGTACGGTTTCAAAACACGAGAATTATTACAATGTTTTTATATGTCAGATGGTAGCATATTAAAGATGGCCTTAATAGATTTTCAAGATTTTTGTGCCATTTTATTGTACTTAAAAACTTAAATTTATATTGTGAATGAAATACATCTAATTCTAGGAATCAAAAACATTAAAAATTATATGAATAAAGTTACTTAATATACATATATGATTGAATGGATTTCGATGTTCTGTCAAATGAAATAATTGTTAGATAGAATCTGTACTATCATGATTATTATATTGTTTAGTAAATTAATAAAGAATAATTTATTGAAATAGATTTGAGTTTGTTGGTGTTTTGTTTGTTTTTAGCTTTTCAGTAATGTAGAGGCGTTATTGCATTTTCCATGACAATATAAAACCTCCCCGACATTATTGTCAAAAATTCAAGCAATGACCAATGATATACATTGGCCATTTGTCTCTAATAATTCTCAGATCATTCTCAAAAGTTGTTTCTTTTACGGAACAGCACACATCTCCAAACATAGCAACTTAAAGAAAACCTTGAATGAAAATGTTACACAGAATGTAAGTATGAGAATGTAGCCTAGTGGAGATTGCCCTTAGATCATTAAAACACCATCACACTCCATCCCCGGGAGGTTTTGTTATCAGAAATGACAATTGTGGGTTATGCAACCAGACATGTGGCTTGGTGTATACATGTATTAATACCCAAAATCAGCCAGGATTAAGAGGGAGTGGTGCTGCAGCCAGGCCCCCAAATTAGTTTTAAAAAAATAATTTACGATTTTATTTATTAAAGATACATTATGGGAGATAAGATAACGAGATGGCAGTTCTCGCTATAATAGTTAAAAACTAGATAGTGTAAAGGTAATTTGCCGAAAATTTCAGTCAAATTGATCCACTATGAGCCGAGAGAGAAGCGGGTGAAATTTTGGCATAGTCTCGGTCATCATTACTAAAATCATTAATATAAACAGCTTAGTCTCGATTATCCACTTTTATTGATTTAATTATCAACGGTCGTTAGCGGCATATAGGAATCTAATCCAGCCAACATCGAAGGCTAGCCTTAACATCGAGAGTTTATTATGGTCTGGATAAGTTAATTAATGTCTAATTGATAATTTAGATAACATTTCAGGCCTAAAGAAAGACTTGTAATAAGCAGATTTTGCTCTTGCATAATGCATGTTTAAGCTGTAATTTGTGCCAAATAAATCTACCATGCTAACAAATTAAATTTGTGTGAGGTGACGGACAATGACTAGAATATGCCCCCCCCCCCCGCCACTGTTGATGCAAGAGCCAGGGTGGCAATTTCAATCAGAGGCCCTGTGCAAGCTGAAATCGACCATTCCCAAAAATTGTTTTTAAATGTTAGTTTAATATCTAATCAAATAACAATGACCAGAATACGCCCTTCCGCCCCTCTCCACTGTTGATGCAAGGGCCAGGGTGACATTTTCAGTCAGGGGTCCCATGCAAGTTTAATCTGGCCATTCCCAAAAATTGATTTAAATGTTCGTTTAACATAGAAGTGAGACTTCCGTTGTATTGACGAGGTAGAGTTTTTCTCAATTTATTGCAGGGGCTAGCTCTAGAATGGAAGGTCTGATGCGTACCAAAGTAAAACTCATCCAATAACTTTTGATACTTAAAGGGACAATTTCACTTTTGCTGTAGCTACATAAAATGCCCCAATCTTCATTCTGGTCAACAAAATGTACTATTTTTCATCTCATGAATCGAACAAAATTTGTCGTCTCTGGAAGGTTCACAAACTTCATTCATATTTCACATTTTGCGTGAAAGGCAGGGGCCATAACTCCAGAATGGATGCACAGCCAAATTGTTCTCATCCATGTACTTTTACACTATTAGCGTAAATGGTAGTGAGTAGCGACCATTCGACGGGACGTTTTAGTCCGATTTTCAGGAAATTCGGACTCAACCAAATATTGTGTAACTGTGATATATTTGAATGGTTTTTACAATCATTAAATATTGTGATCACTAGAGGGCCCACAAGCTAAGAATGTGATGTTTCGTACAATCAGGAGCCATAATCTAAGAAGCTATGGTCCTATATGCGCCAATATCGAAAGGTATCGATATCTTTGGGTTATAAACATGTTTTCATCAAAACGGATAAACATTGTGACCTCTGTGGTGTCCACAACCTTGGTATTATTATATTTGTCCAGTTCAGCATCGCAGGAAAGCGCCATCGACTGCAGTGCTTTCATGGTAAGAGATTTAAAAGAGAATTAAAATTTCACACTTCATTGCAGAGTAATTTTACTTGCCCGAAATCGCTTAGAGAGATCTAGACCCCCAAGAGCTTCCGGGGACTAGGTGGCTTCTGGACCGTCGCCTAAAGTCCCAGGAAGGTATCCCCGCCAATTAAGAATTGCTTCCACCGGTCCTGCTGTATAGCCTGCATGTTATATATATCTCGAAGATATTCCTAAAAATTACAAAAACCCACGCCAACTTCGTTTTATATTGTGTGCTTATTGTCATATCTTTATTTTATACAAGCCCTACAAAGCAACGGAATTTTGCGTTATACAAGTTCTATATTATCACCCAATAATACAATCCTACAGTAGATATCGCTTGGGTGTTAAATTTCTTAGGAGATATCGCTTTACATGAATTTGATTGGTCAGTTAGAAAGGAACTACTTTTTTTTATTTTCAAAGAACAGTTCATTTTTTTTTATTAAAAGTAACTTCTTTTTTTATTAATAGTGAACTGTTTTTATTTAATTGACCTTGATGGAAACACTGGGTCAATATAAAAGACTTAGCATTGGTTGAATTGCTGTCAAAAAATGATGTAGCCTATCACTACGCCGTAATGTAATCAGGTTCAGTAAAAGTGAAATCTATAGCAAAGAAATATATTATTTATTTGTGCATGTAAGAAAGGATTGGGTGATAAATAAAACCTCCTACGAGTCTTTTTTGATATCAAAAAATATCAACATGAGTCGATAAAGTAATGAAGACGGGCATTTCCATCTATTCTTCTAAGTGGGTATGCTCGATCCCTGCATTGGCCGAGAAAGTTCATCCAGATTTTCCGGCGTGGTTCCCCCTTGCCAGTGATGTAGGACGGAGGGCCTGACAGGGACAACTGTCTAGTCATTTCGGATGGGACGAAAAACCGAGGTCCCATGTACACATTGGCAGTTGGAATTCGATATAAGGATAGGCCGTACTGCCGCTGTCCGGGCAAAATTTCCCTCATAGCACACTGTATGGCGTATGCCCGTGTTCATTAGCCCAGTTCGGAGCAGAACAGTAGGACGTTCAACCTCATTTCCTTTCATTTCATTTTCCACCTATTCCTCGTCAAATTACAACTGCTAAGGTTTCTGTGCACGCCAATGGGCACACAAGACCTCTCATTTTCGTTCCATCCGACTGTCGGAAGGATTTTACCCTGGTGGACCAATACATGCAGAGGCGTATTTGCTTGCCAGATTTTAGCTCCACATTTTCACATAAGATGCAAAACTGTAGAGTACGCCAATCTTTATGCAGGGGCGGATTAAGGTGGTGGCTCGTTCTGAAAAGCCCTATGAAATTTTGGAAATTAAATCACCGTAGATGAGATTTAGAGCACTTTTCTGTGGTTTAGATACAAACTGGAACCTATGATTTCGTTGCCCAAATCTGTAGAAAAACAAATGGAATTGGGTTCAACGTCCTGCTTTTCTGCATCAACTATGGTCTAGTGAAAATGGGAATACGCCATATAGATGGGGATTCTAATTGGAAAATGGTTCTGCAATAAATAATTGTTAACTACCCACTCCCTGGAAATAAAGGTGATAAAAGAAAAATGGCCTTCAGAGATTATTGAGTGAATAATTCAATTGTAAATGCTGAATTAAAGTACTTTTTGGAGATACTGGTTTAAATTTTGTTTCGCAAAACCAAGGTTTCAATTCAATTTCCAATTGTTGTTAGCCTTCTAAAAAACAAATATTTTTATGGTGGTGGATGGTACGCGATTCGCTCAAGAGCACCCTGATAGTAAGTGATTCGCTCGAGAGCACCCTGATAGTAAGTGATTCGCTCAAGAGCACCCTGATAGTAAATGATTCGCTCAAGAGCACCCTGATAGTAAGTGATTCGCTCAAGAGCACCCTGATTGTAAGTGCAGTAGGACTTTAGACAAACCTGTTGACAAGATGAGAAAACGAATAAGAACGGCTCAAGGTGTATGCGCCTTTTGACTGGACAAAGACGTAGGTTCCCTTAAGCTGGAGCCAAAGGGACCCTTATGTCCAATTCGGGAGCCCTATATCTTGGACTTGGATGCTCCTAAATGCAGGCCTGGAAATAACGGCTTTAGATGTACCTGACAAAATGTCAGGCACTAATGAAATAGTACCCGACATTTTCAACTTAGTGCCAGACATGTATTAATAATATTATTAAAAAAGACAAATCAGGGCCTGACAAGGACCGCTGTCTAGTCATTCGGATGAAACGAAGATCCCTTGGCATTTGGAATTCGATATAAGAGTAGGCCGTAGTGCCGCTGTCCATGCAAAATTTCCCTCATAGCACACTGTATGGCGTATGCCCGTCTTCATTAGCCCAGTTCGGAGCAAAACATTTCATTTCCGAAATCTTAGCTTGGCCACTGTCACTGAATGGCTTATTGACATGAAACCACGATTCAGGGGAGGCAACTATAAAGAATAGGTTAGTATCATTGCAAAACTTTGAGAAAAACAAGAATAGCGCTAAAGGAGGTAAGTGGCTTCCTCAATATCATCCACATTCTTCGACATTGGAAACATGACTTATTGATCAATTTAAATCAACACTGCATGATGGTGTTATCTTACCATGAAAAGATGGGGTTCTGGTATCCAACATTTAAGACAAAGTGAAAATTTTATAATTGGCACACGAATCGCGTGTCAGAATGCTTTCGAGCGCCATTTGTAATGAAGCGACCCGATGAACGAGGCTAAACATATCCTATAGGAGAACACAATGACGTCATTTGAGAGTACAACCGGTGTAGACGCCAATGGACTGCCATTCAATTTGGACTATTCGCTTATAACTGATTAGAAATTACAGTAAAAACAGAAACGATCGAATGTAAATCAGTCTAAGCAAAAAAACGTTTATATTTTCACTCATGCTACGCAATCGTGAAAATATAAGTTTTCTTGCTTCTCGATGAAATAAAATATGTTATTCGCTCTAAAACGACAAATATCCTCTATATACATTATATGTATTGTTCTATGTTGAAAGCGGAGCCGCGGCCTGAAAGTCGGCGACAGGCGAGCTCCGAAGTGGTCCAATAATTAACATCATTCGCAAAATTAGCTTCCAATAAGGTAAAATCACTATAATATAAAAATAGGTGGTACCAAACTCGCTTACCACGTTTCGTTTGTATCTAGAAGCGATAAGGCGTGCGCGGTATTTTGAAGCGTGGTACAAGAGAATAACTGTTTATATATATTGTACTTATTGTACTTATAGGCCAGCCCTGTAAAAAACGGATTTTTGTTATGTGTGAACTATACGAAAAATAACTGGCAAATAGCTAGTTTAAGAGAATTTTTGTTCTGTTTATTTTATTAAAAGTTGAGTAAAATACCCGCCCCCCCCTCTCCCCCAACGTTCGTTGTGTCATCTTTTGCTCCATCTGGCACGAAATTAAAGGGACGAAACAAGGTCGTCGACAAATCTTGTCAAGGGTAACGGTTTCAGATAGAATAATTTAAAGTAATTCTGATATGCAATATTTAAGACAAAATAAACATTTTACCATTGGTAGGCTACACGAATCGTGTACCATAATGCGTTTCAGCGCTATTTGTAATAAGGCACTCGAAGAACGCGGCTAAACATATTCCATATAAGTCATTGCCATTGCTAGAGATTACCATTCGAAATGAGACGTCTGGCGTATTTCGCCGAACATAAAGGATTTGGAATTAGAGTAAAAACGGAAACGATTGAATGTAAATCAGTTTGTATACATTCATATTACATTATTATATGCGTTGTGACCCATTTGTGTCAATGCCTAGGTCCCAAATATTAGCGATTAGATTAGATCTCCGACTCTCTTTTATAATGCGGAGCTGCGATGGCTCGCTAACCAGGAAGTCTTGGGTTCGCTCCTACTAGTGTTGGTCGAGAAAGTTCTTCGGGTTTTCCGGCGGGGATTCCCCCTTGTCATGGGGGCCTGGCAAGTTACAGTGTCTAGTCGTTCGGGTGGGACGGAAATCCAGGGCCCCGCGTACATATTGGCGTGCACGTAAACGAACCCTTGACAGTTGGAATTCGAAATAAGAACAGGCCGTATGCCCGACTTCATAATTAGCCCAGTCCAGACAGAAACGTTGGGAGCTTAAAAACCCATTTCATTTCATTTTCTTTTATAATGACGCTCAGGAGATGTCATTACTACAAAAAATATTTTTCAAAAATCTCACAGCAATTTCATATTTCTGAGGATAGTAGTATATATCACATAAAAAATCAATGCCGCTTAATGATCAATACAAAATCAATAAGAATGACATTTGAGAAATAAAATATATGATGTCCTTATTTGTTGGAATAACTCATAAAAAAGTCGATAAAAATCTAAATGCCATAGCAACAAGAAAACTCCCGTTGAGACAAAATATTAAATCATAATATTATCATGGCGGTTATCGATATCTCTGGGATGAATTCAACCAATCAATCGCTTGGGTTCTCTGCTATTGGATTCGTCTGCTAACTACCTGAGGCGACACCGGAAACTGTGAGCAACAAGGCTGGGTTGGCAGGTGCTTTTTGGTGATAGCCAAAGTTAGTAATTAAGTGAACAATAACAGTTAGCAGATTTACATGATTAGCGTAAAAAATGGTAAGTACTCTTCACTGAACCTTTTGACATTCGGTGAACGGATTATATTAGACTGTCATGGCCGAAGTAACGGTAAAGTAAACATTGTTGTAACCGTATGATTTTATTAATGTATATTTATGTAATATTGTACTGTTTTATACGATATTATCCTTGTCATATATTTTGATACAATTCACTATTAGGCGTCATTATTTACAAAACGTCGTATATACCGTAATAAATGTCTGGATAACCAGGTTTACAAATCACAATTTTCCTTGTGCTAACAAATATAAAGCCCACGATTTTTATTTACAATGTATCAGAAACTGTGTATTTATCTGCACATTTCTGTAGTTTAAGATTATTAAAAGTGCAGGTTTAGGTAACATTAGGATTTCACATTTATAATGGTTTGACAAATTTGGTTAAATTTTTTGTTTATGTATTGAACAACGGTCATGGAGTCTGGACATGAATGTAAAAACTTGAAATATTTTTTTAAAATTTTTTAAAATCTTTATTGTAAAAATACTCAAAGGCTTTTACTGTGTCAGTTATACCTACCGTAAAATTTGGCACCAAATAATATATGTCAGTGCCAATATAAATATTCAGGTGTAGGCTACCTGATATTATTGTGTTGCACTAGGGTAGAATTAGTATAAATGATATATTGTAGGCAAATGATTTGAAAGTATGAAATAGAGGAGTTAAACATCTACACTAAATGTCATTATGTTTTGTTTTAATAATTTACTTGGTGTAGGCTTCTTTAGAAGGGGGTTAGGCCTACTTGGAAAAGTACCTGCGAAGTTAGGCAGGTGAAACTACTACACAAAATGCAAAATCCTGTGGATTTATACTTCCCTTTATGTAAATGGTACATTTTACTTTTTTTATTTTTCTACATTTATTAACATGACAAGTCCATAATCAACTTTCTAGATAACAGGCATGGAGCGAGCATATCCGGCTTCATTCACAACACCAACAACTGTATATTTATGAATATAATAAGCCTACATGTTTACTTGAATTGTATTTACTTACATGTATATATATGTAAGTTTCTACATAATTGTTGTAAAAATGGATTATATTATATATTGCACATTTTAATGAACAAAGAACAAGGAAGTATCCTTATGACATCCAGCAATAATATGTGAATATACCTCCTAATATTTATGAGCACTCTTTAAAAGGGGTCATTAATTCAATTGTAGTCGTCTTTTTGTCTGTGCATAATTTATACAGTGAGACAGGATACTAGAGATTTTATAACTAAAATTTGCATGTATTACTCCATTGTAAAGATGTTCTCAATAGAATGTTGAAAGATTTTTTACTTAGTTTCTAAGGGATGTTAGCCTACTTTTACATTATAAAGAAGAGGCAAGTAAAATATTTTTTCACAGTTAATGCATGAGTCAGTTCTCTTGCCTACTGTATCTTGTAGACTAACAATTCATATTTTCTATGAATTTTCTAAAAAAAAGTGTGATTTACAACAAGTTAGCTGGTTCACAAACAGGTAAAAGTAAAAGTTTACTGTAAAGGCAGTCATTATCTAATTAAAATCTCTGAGTGCATGTAATTTGAGCAATATTTATAGGAATCACTTGTTAACTAAAATATTGTAAAAGTTGAATATCTAATAGGAATGAATGGTTCAATTCTTTTCAGTATTTACAAAGATATGATGACGCAAACTTCTATCGATTTATACTGCCTTTATGTAAATGGTACACTTTACTTTTTTTATTTTCTCCAATTACAATAGTCTGTTTATTGTCTGATAATGTCATGATATTATAACATGCCCGCTGCCATCTTAATGTGTTCTTAAAATCTTATTGATGGGTATGTTTTTAATCGAATTGAATCCTAGCCAGAAGATTATCTAAATTTCAATAGTGTTCCTACTCTTTTATCAAGAACTTGACGAGTAGAGTGGTCATAAGGAACTATGGATAGAAACCTGACGAAGGTCAGAATGTAATCTGTCCATATGTAAAGGTGATGCATTATAAGAGCTCAATCTCCTTATTGTGGGTCTTATTTTGGCTTCAAATGGTGTACAGAACTATTATTAAACATTTATTAACATGACAAGTCCATAATCAACTCTGTAGACCATTGGACGGCAGAGATTTAAATGACTTCCATTAGAAAGCCTGCTAGATTTAAAATTTTAACGCTGAAATGGATAGTCAAAACTAAGTCTCGCTTGTCCAGTATCATTGCTATGATTATAAACACCCATAACTTGGCTCAGAATAAAGTAATTTGAATGATATTTTCAATATATTTATTCGTCAAAGAACTATTTTTGAACTATTATACATCTACAAGAACGGCCAGCTCTTTATCTAAATCTTACATAATGCATCTTTAATTAAATGTTAAATAATCAGTCTCAATCTAAGTACCTATTAGCATGGATTAAGCGCTGATAAATTTATATTTACCTCAGTTCTTCACGTTTATGAAATCGTGCGAAGCCATAAAAAGCTCTTGCTAATATCAAAAATCAGAAAAAAGCATCCCATAAAAACTTTTCTTAATTATATTGCAAGAGTAATTCTATATTTTCTTGAATTAAGGAGAACCAAATTGTATTATGCTTTAGTCTTATACATTCTTTATGTACATCACATTGACAGGTCTTATTGCAGATACAGATGGTGGAATGGATGCAGTCACTGTTAAAATGGGTGCGTCCCTCTGTCTGATGGTCTTTCTGTCACCCTTTTTGGGAGACAAAAACTCTGCTTCTAATAGAGATAGAATGTTCAAACTTGGTGTACATGTAGTTGTTCATTGAGTGAGTCTTGACTAAATTCAACGATGAGCATTTTATGTTAAGACATAAATAAATTGATTGGAACTCAACTATGCTTGAAGTAGAATCAATCTATTCCTGACTGTTGAAACAGTGGATTTTTGAGTTCGAGAGATTTTATATGAGACAAAAAAAGACTAAAATGTAATTATTATTTTAAAAGAAAAATGTTTAAATCACTGTGGCCGTCTGGTCATTTATAAGCATAAAATGAAAGTAAAGTGAAATGACATTTAACATCCTACTGTTCCGCACCAATTGGGCTAATTAAGGTGGGCATATGCCATATATAGTCTGCCATGAGGGACTTTTTTCCTGGACATCGGCACTATGACTACCCTTATTTTGAATTCCAAGTGTTAAAGGTTCTTTTACATGCACACCAATGTGTACACGGGACCTCGGTTTTCTTGCCCATCCGAGCAACTATATGTTGTCCCTTGCCAGGCCTTCCGTCCTGCACAAATGACAGTTTATAAGTCTTTATATACCATTTTATTGTCCCCCGCCTTTCGAAGAAAGCAGGGGACTATTAAAATGGGTTCGTCCGTCTGTCTGTCTGTCTGTCTGTCTGTCTGTCCGTCTGTCTGTCCGTCCGTCTGTCTGTCCGTCACACTTTTTGGGACACAATAACTCTCTTCCTAATTGAGCTAGAATGTTCAAACTTGGTGTATGTGTTTATTAGGTCAATGCCTTGATGGAGTTCGAAGATGAGCATTTTCCGCTTAGGGTAAGCAGAGATAAGCAATTTGATTGGTTGATGCTTTGGGACACGATAACTCTCTTCCTAATTGGGCTAGAATGTTCAAACTTGGTGTATGTGTTGATTAGGTCAATGCCTTGATGGAGTTCGAAGATGAGCATTTTCCGCTTAGGGTAAGCAGAGATAAGCAATTTGATTGGTTGATGCTTTGGGACACGATAACTTTTAATTGAGCTAGAATGTTCAAACTTGGTGTATGTGTTTATTAGGTCAATGCCTTGATGGAGTTCGAAGATGAGCATTTTCCGCTTAGGGTAAGCAGAGATAAGCAATTTGATTGGTTGATACTTTGGGGCACGATAACTCTCTTCCTAATTGAGCTAGAATGTTCAAACTTGGTGTATGTGTTGATTAGGTCAATGCCTTGATGGAGTTCGAAGATGAGCATTTTCCGCTTAGGGTAAGCAGAGATAAGCAATTTGATTGGTTGATGCTTTGGGACACGATAACTTTAGTTCTAATTAAGTGAGATTGATGAAACTTGGTGTATAGATTTATTATATGAATACCTTAACTAAGTTCGATAATGAACATTTTTTGCTGAGGGTAAGCAGAGTGATAAGCAATTTGATTGGTAGAAACTTTGGAACACAATAACTCTCCTTCTAATTGAGGTAGAATGTTCAAACTTGGCATAGGTGTCTATTAGGTGAATGTTTAAACTTGATGTATATGTAGATGTTCATTAGGTGAATGTCTTGACTGAGTTCAATAATTAACATTTCGAGCTGAAGCTAAGCAGAGCTAATCGATTTCATTTGTCGATGGTTTGGGACAAGATAATCTTGATTCTATCTGATAGAGAGTGATGAAACTTAGTGAAAAAAATAAATGTGCGATTAATTAATATGTGTCATCTATTTATTTTGCAATTTCGGCGGGGGACATCAGCCTCACTGTTGGCTTGTTTGATCTGTTAAGGCAAAAATATTTAGTTTTGTGCGGCTATGAATTGCCAATGGATATATAATATAAAATATTATAAAACCTCACAAGATACAATCAGAATATCCTTTATTTTTATTATTTAAAAAGTACATGTGTATATTTGTGTACATCAAGTTTCATAAAGCTTGAAAAAATTTATTTGGTTCGTTTCACTCAACTGTGTTTTTCTTAAATCTCTGTCAGAAATATTTGGTGAGAAATTGTGAGATAGTCACACCAACCCGGCCATATGGTGGAATTATAAGTTATGGAAATAAGAATGATCCAAACCTTTTTGATGCAATATTTAACAGACTGCACTTTTAGTCAACTTTGGCATGAGGCTTTTTCAAAAAAATCATCAGAAAAGGTCCAAAATGGTTTAGATTCACAATGCTTGGGAAGACTTTTGTTTCCAGACACCAACCCATTTTTGATTACCATTAATTATCAAGCAGTGTCTATGTTATTTTTCTAGGG